ATTACAAAGGAGCTGAGTACAACCTTTGAGCTTTTCCTGGACTCTCTCTCTTTTTACCTTCTCTATTTGCTATTATTTCTACTTCCTACTACTCTTCTGCTTTGACTTCTACTTCTACGAATGTCTATTTAGAGAAAGAAAAACTAACTTGGGTTACAAAGTCACTGCAGTAAAAGTAACCCTAGTTACATAAAACTAAATATGATTAACTAACCCTAAGGTTATTTACAGAGGTAACTGTAGTCGGTCATCTTTATCTTTTGGGAAAGATAAAAAGCAACCGGCTTTTGAGGAACGTGTCTCATGACAGTCACTTTGGAGTGAGGCATGCCTGTTCCTTTGTCTGACTTATTATCCCTCCATTTGGTTTTCGAGATTTTCCTACCCAACTGAGTCAAGATCATCATAAAAGGCTATACCTTCTGGCTCATTAGGGTCATCATTGGGAAGGTCATCACCAAATCATCTCCAACGCCTCGATATTCGTATTGATCTTGACCATTTTTATATTCCTCAGAGTAAATATCTAGTAGTTGAGTGTAGCTTGTCTGAGGTGATAAGGAAATCTCCCTTTGACTCTGACTATGAATAAACACATCATGATCAAGATAAATTTTCTAAATACTGTCCTCAGTAAAGAGGGTGTATCCAGCTGAAAAATCATCTCCCATGACCTACATGTGGGCCATTGTTCTAGCTCTCCAGTGTCTAAGTTGTTTTGTGAGGGATTGAGTAGTGGATGGCCAAGCCTGAGCGTCTCTGTAGAGAGGCGATAAACTGCTCTTTCTTCTTAAAATAATTTTGTGTTGTGCCGGAAGCAAATGTCTACCCTTCCATTCAGGAGCCTTGCTTTGAATCAATGCCTCAACATAGTTGGGAGGCATGCTTTCTAAGATAGCTATGGCAAACTTTCTTCCAACAAGATCAGTATCCGCCATTTTTGTAAAGATTAATTGATAGAGAAAACCATAATCAAGGAGTAACTGTGGAATTAACTCAATGATTTCCCTTTCATATAAAAACTGAATGGGTTCATAAGAGTATAGATCTAGAGAAACTCTGCAAATGCTATAGACGAGTTGACATTGATAGTCATATCTATCAAGTGGAATCCCATCTGCAGTTTCTCCTTCACACCTATTACACCTTTTGAGTCTTCCTTCTGTAGTAGAATAATAGGTGTCCCATGTGAAGCCTATACCAAATCGGTTAATACCATCTTGGGCTATCTATTGAAGGAATTGTTGAATTGCCTTCAATTTAGCATGGCTTGAAGCTTCTGCTTTCTGTAAAGTTAGTTGTCTTGAATCATCTGGCAGCTCGGGTAAGGGAACATGTGGATTGAAATACATGCTGAGTTGCCTCTGAGTGTCATCCACTAATGGAATAGATGTAGAAGTTGAGGAGGATCCTTTGATTAAATATTAATTAATTCCCAGTGGGGGAACTAATTGTCTTCCACCCGCCAGTGGGGTTAAGGTGGTCTTCACGATTTCTCCTAAAGGTTCCTGCAAATCTGGAGAAAGATGAGGGCTAATGAAAAAGCTGTCTCCAAGATACTATTGAGCAAATTGGATAGCTTCTTCAATTAGATAAAACCCTTTATAGAGTGGTTTTCTAAAATCTTGTATTTGGAACAAGATCTCATCCCACTTCTTATAAACTCCAGGGGTTTTTCCCTTGATTAGAACATAATAATTAAATTTATTATATTTTTTCAAATACTGGGCTAAAGTTTTTAAATTGTTCTCAAAAAGGTTCAAATTGCCGAAGCTCTCTTGAATGTTGTTCAGAAGTTGATCAGCAACTGGATCCAAATTGAGACCTTCTGTACAAGACCTGGCTCTAAAGGTTTGCCTCTATTGCTGGCTTTGCCTGAAGTCGAGCGTCTCATTCTAATCCTGTACAAGAGAAGAATGAATATATCTACTTAGCCAGTCAGCCAGTTAATTATCTTTACTTTTAATATGTTCAAATTTTACTTTAAAACCATTTCCAGTTATGATATTTACAAAATTCATCCATCTTTTAGAAGAAAGACTTTTTTCATTTTTCCTTTGAAAATATTTTACAATTGCCTCACAGTTTGTTCTAATTGTAAAAATATCATTTTGGATGAAAAGTCTAAAAGAATTTAAAGCATTTATAACTCCTAAAATTTCAAAATTAAGAGAGGTTAAAGAATTTTTACTTTCTCTGCACAATCCACTAGAATATCTACAAATCTTTTCTTTTTTTTGAGATGAGAATTCCTTTGGTCTGACTAACAGAATTGCTCCCCATCCTTCACTACTACTATCAGTTTCGACTATTTTGTAGTCTGATTTCAATGGTAGAGTTAGAGAGGATAACTTTTTAACTTCATCTTTTATTCTTTTTACAAGTTTGACGTCCTCACTATTGAAAAACTTTTGTCCTTTGGGACTAAGTTTTGCATATAATGGTCCAGTCAGTTTAGATAGATCCTTTATATACATTCGGTCATAATTGAGTATACCCAAGAATTTTTAAAGTTCTTTAGTTTCCTCGATTTTGTCAGGAAAGTTAAGAATCTTCTTAACTATGTAATCCTGCAACTGAATTTTTTCCTATCCAATCCTCATTCCTAAAAATTCAATGTACTATTTGGAGAGTTCCATTTTCTTTTTAGAAATTATAATGCCATTTTTTAGGAATTCAGTAAAACAACCTGTAGGTGTTTGATATGCGAGAATATCATCTATGTAAACTAAGACAAAATCAGAATATTTTTTGAATATCTGATCCATCTTTCTTTGGAAAATTGAAGGTGCATTTTTCAACCAAACGGCATGACTTGCCATTCAAAATGTCCTTCGAGACAAGTGAAGGCGGTCCATGGAATTGATTCTTTTTCCATTTTGATCTGCTAGAAACCAGACTTACAATCAAACTTGCTAAAAATTTTTGAATTTTGAACGCAGTTGATTAGTTGGTCTTTATCTAGTATTCTATATGCATCTTCATAAGTGTTATCATTTAGCCTTTTATAATTTATAACCATCCTAGCCTTTCCTCATTTAATTTCTGCATGATTTCTTACCATGAATGATGCAGAGGAATGTCTAGAACTGGAATGCTTTATGACTCCCAAGGCTAAAAGTTCTTTTATTTGAACCTCAAATTCTTGCCTGTCAAGTGGACTGTGATCCATCTTGCCACAAGTAATTCTAAGTTTAGGATTTATTATATCTAGTTTTGCTGTACATTTGTTTCGATCCCAATATTTGATTGGGTCTTCTCCTAAGACTTGAGTTTCATCAGTTATTCTGATTAACTCATCCAAGTTCATTTTTTTGTAATTTTTATTTTTTCTTTTGTTTTCTTCCTTTTGAAAGTTTGAAAGAGTTTTTTCTATATTTACATGCATCGCTTCTTCATCATTAATTAAGTTATCAAAAAACTGATAATCTATAGAATCTTCAAATATTTCTATAGTCTCTTCTAAGGGATTTGGTGTATAATCAAATTCTAATAAATCATCAAAAAACTTTTCATCACTACTTAAATAATTACTATTATATTCAAAATGTTTATTTAATTTATTTTGGATTTTTTGGGGTGCTATTTCTTCTGGGTTTGGAAGATTCATGACATATCTTCCGTTGGGGTGTAACTGGTTCGTTTTGCAAACTATACTCCATCGGAAGAAATTGTCATTTGGCCCTGGAAGTGAGTGATAAAGTTTAAGCCAATTATTTCGGATAATTATTTCGGATATTATGTACAATTACTTGAGGTAAGGTGTACTTTTCTCCAAAATTTCTTGATCCCCAGTCCCAAAAAGAAATTTTTGCATCCTTTAGACATTTATCATATTTGAGTTGATTTCCATCCATTTGAGTTCCATAAACAGCTTTCATTGTTGAGACTTGAGAACTCGGGATTTCTGTTTCAAGGATGTGAGATTTAGATGCTCCTGTATCAATCATTCCTAAGAATTCTTTTGTTTCTCCATTTTTGAAGGTGATTGAACACAGTATGCTGAGTAGGGTATTTGGATCTTTGGGGTTTGTTGGAACATTAGCTGATAAAGTAGATATTTTTTCTTCTTTATCTGCTGTTGGTTCATTAGCATCTTTTCCTTTGAGTGGAAGTTTTGCTAATTGGTTCTCCAATTCCTTTGTTCTTTGGTGGAGAAATTCTATTTGTTCTTCTAATTGCAAGATGTATTCATCCTTGTCATTGAGTGTTTTATTCATTGATTTCATTTCTTGCAATAAAGACAATTTTTCTACATCTCTGATTAATTGCTCTTCATTTGATGCAAGGATGTTTATTTGATTTACAGGTTTTGAAGGCTACACCTGTTTAACCTTTTCTTTTAATTTTTTGTGACAGAATATACAATATACTTTTGAGCATATTGTACATGTCAACTTTGTAGAAGGCTGGGTGTACCTATGACAATCTAAACATTTTTCCCATTGTGGGGGTTGATTTGATTGCCATAAATGTTTGCAGTCAGAATCAATCTTGATCATCATGATTTTTACAATGTTTAATTTTTGATTAAGAGAATCTATAAACTGTTGAAGATTTTGATCTTTAGAGTTTATATCTTCTTCAGATTCTGAATGAAATTCAGACAAGTCTTCTATAAACAAATCTTCTGAAATGATGATGTAAACATCACTTTCAGACTCGTATCCGCTTATAGAGATGATGTCTTCTTCTTCCGCAAGATTTGCCCATATGTGAGATCTTTCAGTTGGTTTGTTTTTGTTTGGGTATTTGTTTGCATAATGTCCTGGATCTCCACATATATAGCATTTTTTGTCTTTCTTTGGATTTTTGGGTTTTTTCACATATTTCTCCTTTTTACTCGTTTTCCTTTTTTGAAGGTTTTACTAGGCTTAAGAGAATATGTTTTCTTTTTTATGAATTTTTTGGGTTTGGTTTTGCAAGAAAAACATTCTTTTTGAGATTTTTTGTATTTTTTCCTCCTATTATACGATTCTTTTGAAGAACGATGTCCCCTAATTACATATTTACAAAAACCAAATTTTTGCTTTTTAAGAGATTTTTGGATTTGAATATCTACACATTTTTCTCTTAATATTTTATATATAAACAAAATCCTAGGGCCTGCTCCCTGTTGAGGTGCAGGGTTAGAAGCTAGCCATTTCTCTTTGATTTGTTTACCAAGGGTGCTTGGTAGCTTATCAAAGATTCTATTATTTAAGTTGGCATCAAATCCTTGTCCCGTTCTAGCAACAAGTTTAAGAAAATCATTGCAAAAGGACTTGATTTGATACCTAGATGTTAATTGAAGGACCTCAAGTTCCTCAATAGCTTTATTTTGTAAAGCTCTTTCGAAATCAACAGTTACATCAGATCCTAAGAACATCTTTTTTATTAAAGAGGTAAAATTGTACAGATTTTCCCCCAAGTCTTGTGTTTCAGCGACTAAGGTTGGGTTCTCTCTTTTAAAGGTATTCCAGTACAATTCTACAGTGGGGCCTAGAAGTGTTTCTAGGAATTCGAACATCTCACCATCCATAGATCAATTGATCCATGCCCGGCAAGCGTCTCTTTCCCATTGATCTATTATTTCTGCCCAAAGCTGTGGATTCCAACTTGGTAATTCTAGAATAGTCCCTTGCTGTTTTGCAGCAGGTAACTGGTTTGGGTTTATCTTCATTTTTCTACCAAATTGTATCCTTTCTCTGTTCTCTCCCTTATACTCAAGTGTTGCTTGAGGTATGGGATATCTTCCTCCTAACTGGTATGTTCTAGAACTGAAGACTCCAGATGTTTTGGGAGCACTAGAATTTTCTTCAATTTCAGATCTAGTTGGAGCAATAGGGTTCCGGTTAGGATTTTGATTTGGATTTTCAGGGGTTACATTCATGAATATTTTTTCCTGTTGGGATTCATATTCATGAATAATTTGAAGTATGGGTTTTTGATTTTTGAAGTAAGCCTCAACTGGAAGTTCTAGATCTAGAATTTGATCCTC